TGGTTGGGATGTCCCACACTCCCCGTGGTTGGGATGTCCCGCAATCCCCGTGGTTGGGATGTCCCGCACTCACCGTGGATGGGATGTCCCACACTCCCCATGGTTGGGATGTCCCGCACTCCCCGTGGTTGGGATGTCCCGCACTCACCGTGGATGGGATGTCCCGCACTCACCGTGGATGGGATGTCCCGCACTCACCGTGGATGGGATGTCCCACACAGCCCTGCCTTTCACTCACCGTGGTTGGAATGCCGCACACAGTCCCCCAGCACGGCGCTGAAGTGTCTCTGCGCCCCGGGCTCCGAGAAGCAGTAGCAGCTGTGCAGGGAGAAGGGCTGCCACAGGTACACCGGGAACTCCTTCGGCAGCGGCACAAAGGCTGCAGTCCCCTCCTTCTCGCTCGAGCCTGCACAAAAACATTTTCATTTGAGAGCTGCAGGTTTCTTGGGGGCGGCTCTGTGCCAGACCTTTGCCAGCAGGGAGATCTCCTTCCCAGGGGGACACGTTTGGGATGGGCAGACTCAGCTGTCACCAGCCACCTCCCTGTATGACACCACAGCTTGATGGCCTCTTGTTTGTATCCAAGGTGCCAAAAAAYGACATAGCTGTGGCAAAATGTCARAGAAACTATTTCACTGGATTGCAGCTGCTGGGGGAATGGTTTTTAGGTTGGTGAGTTAGTGGGGAGCTCTGGTCTGTTCCACATAGAGATCACATGGAGGAGCAAATGGATTGTGTTTAAATTGTAGGAGCAGCAGTGCTTTCCCTGGTCCCAGGGTTTCCACACACAACTGCCTTCAAAAACTGTCCCTTCAAGCCCTTGCAGGTGGAGCAAAGAAAGCACCAGGTGCCCCCAGCTGCCACCTGCCCTGAGTGCCTGCACACAGGRATGCTGGACAGGGCATTTAGGGATGACCAAAYCCAGTSWGGAGTCAYYGRCATGCCTTGAGAGCCCAGACACAGRAGATTTATCTTGGAGGGTTTTCAGCACCACACAGAAAATTAGGGGCCATAAAGATGAAGTGATACTCTCTCTGCAGGGAGAGCCATGGGGAGCCCTTGGAGTGCTCCACGTCTCTCAGCCCCAACTGCTGTGGAGATGTGATAACACACAGCCCACCTCCGAGCCCTTCTGACCACCCTGTGCCCTGGCAAGGGTGTGGGGGGACACCTAACTTTTAAATCCTAACTTGAAGGACTTACAAAAGAAAACCTTGTCTTCAAGTTGCCCTTATCCCTTCCATGACATGGCATCCCTTTCCCCAAACCTGACTCTGCACCACAAGATCTGCTCCCTTAAAGCCTGAATTTTCTCCATCTTGGTGGAGTGGGGGCAGGCAGGACCACAGCAGCTCCCAGCCCAGAAACAACAAACTCAGCAGCAGCCACCTTCCTGCCCTCTCTGTGGGGTGACTTATCAGCTATGAGTCAACACAAGCAGCTGGCATCTAAAAATGGAAACAAATAAACCAGGAATACTAACAAAGCCCGGGAACAATGGTGCTGTGGTTTCTGCCCTGCTTCTGCACAGCTTCCAGCAGCTTTGGGCCGGGATGATAGCAAGAAAGGGAGCCAGCATCTCTCTGAATGTTGGCTTCCAGCAACTGCTGTGTTCATCCACTCTGGAGCTGGACTTGCACTTTAGGAAAGGGCTGTAGGCAGCAGAAGGTGCCATTTCCATTTTAAAGTGGAGCTGAAAGCCTTCCCAGAATAGAGTGAGGAACAGAGCCTCGGCTTTGGCAGTTGAGCTCAGAGCAGAACTTACCAACAGGGTCTGGAAAATGTTTATCAGACAGCAAGTTGTAATCTTCTTCTGAAGTCAGGACTTTGCCTCCTGCAGGTAGAATGTGATATTTAGGGCTGCCTCCTTTCTGGTAGGCCTGGAAAATCGACAGAGAGGAAGTATTGTCAAATAGAGATTTAAGGAGAGACAAAATGTAAAATAAACAATTCACTGGAAAAGCCAGGAGCTGACTCCATGATTCTTTTGGATCCCTTCCAGCTCAGGATATTCTATGATTTCAATGTGTGGGGATATTGCCCAAAGGGAGAATCTTTCTGTCAGGCTGAATTTTGGACATGTTTCCAAGGCAAATCTAAAACATGGTTTAATGTAAAAACCACGTTTGACAATGTCCTCTCAGTGCTTATCTGCCATGGTGAGGAGTCAGGGATGGAAGGAAGGGGARAAGGATGGGATTTTCTCTTCAGCCCTGTTTGTTGGATTTGTCAGCTGGATTATCTGGACCATGGCAGCTTCCAGATGAAAAGCCACCCAAACCCTGCTACTTCAGCTCCAGCTGCAGGMGCACAGGGATGTACTGCGAGGATTTACAGATGTGAGGGGCTCTGGGACAGGCACAGGAAGGTTCAAGCACTGCTCAAATAATTTGTTAGCTCTTGCAGACACATCTGGCCAAGGCAGAGCCCCTGGCTGTACCCTCAGCCCTCCCCTCCTGCTTCAGGACAGGCAGCAGCAGCAAACCCAGTGGTATCAGTTGATTTGGGAGGGTGCAGGTAGATGCARGAAGCAGCACTCACCTCTTTGGTCTCAAAGCAATCCACAGTGTAGTCGTTTCTGATCACCACATATCTGTCCTTCCACTTCCTCAGGTCCTCGGCAAAGTGCAGCAGCTCTGCCTCATACAGAACGGTCCCGGCTTCCCCTGGGGGCTGCAGGGACAGTTGGTGACATTTGAGACTCCTCTGCACCACTGACCATCTTGAAGCTCTTATTTCTACATTTCCATAAAGCTGCTCCAAGGGCTTTTCAGCCTTCCAGTGGAAACTGCGGTCACAAACACCTCTCTGATTTCAGAAGGTGCTACAGACACAAGCAAATCCTGCAGCCAAGATGACGAGGTAGCAGAAGAGCTCTGCCTTCCAAAAACTCTGCCAGATTCCTGAGGCCRAGATTTATTTACCTTTCAGCTAGTGTGCTGAATGCAAGATCAGAGAATCCTACAGTGGTTTGGGTTGGAAGGGACCTTGAAGATCATCTAGTTCCAACCCCTGCAAGATGACTTGGAGCTCACCACCTCCCATTTTCCACTACCTAACAAATATTTCATTGATATGAAAAGCAGAGTTCATTACGAAATGGTAAATTATTTCCCATTTCTTTGTAACACTTTTGCATCTGTGCTCTAGTAATTGATGTGCATCTTTCTGAAAGACACAGCTCTTCTACTATCCCACTCTTCTATTATCCCACCTCTTCTATAATCCCACCTCTTACATTCCACCCCACTGCTTTCACCACTCATTTTTAAAGCATTGGAAATCCATCATTTTCAGTATGTTCAGAACATTTAAATTTGTATCTTCTTAATGCTGAAAGCTGGTTCTCTACATTTTCCTCTAATGAAGAGACTTTTGTCTCTCTTTTTGTCTCCCCTCTGAGAAAAAACAGCTTTCCATAGCCCCCTCCACAGAGGGAATTATTGCCATTCTCTTTAAGGAACCCGGCACCACAGATAACAGCATTAATTACATTTCCTACAAAATCTCTTCCCTGAATGCATGATCTCTGTCCCTAGAATTTGCAGAACCTTGCAATCAGCAAGAAGTAACCAGTTTTGTCCAAATGTCCAACTCTGTACCAGAAACTCATGTCGTGGCTCTCCTCATGCCATGATRAACAACTAAACAAGACCAAAATAAAGACGAACTTTCAAAACTAAAACCTCAAACCTGCACCCAGATGCGACTTTTGCAGCCCAAAGCAAACTGAGCCCAGTCCAACCCCTGCAGATGCAAACTGCTGCGTGCACAGGGGTGACAGGCACCCAGTCAGTCCCCTCCTACCTTGGTTTTCAGGAAGCGGGACTGGCAGTGGCGGTGCTGCTCCAGCTCCTCCTGGATGTGCCTGCAGAAGGCCACGGCGTACTGCCGGCGGTAGTGGGGGCTGAAGTTCTTGATGGTGGCCTCTGTCTTCCCTGGGGTGAAAAAGAGATTTAAATGAGTTTAATGTAYGTGGCTTCACAAGCTGGAGCACAGATCCAAGGTACTCAGCACCAGCWACCCCAATTCTTGTCTTGGGAAAGGAGGCAGTTCCAGGGTCACCTAACAGTGACCTTACAGTATCTGCAGGGAGYCCACAAGAGAGATGGAGAGAGACTTTGGACAAGGGATAGAGTGACAGGATGAGGAGAATGGCTTTACAATGACAGACAGTAGGTTTAGATTGGGTAYTSRGAAGAAATCCTTCCCTGGGAGGGTGGGGAGGCCCTGGCATGGGGTGCCCAGGGAAGCTGTGGCTGCYCCTGGATTCCTCWCAGTGTCCAAGGCCAGACCAGACAYTGGGGCTTGGAGCACCCTGGGACAGTGGAAGGGGGTGACACTGRATGGGYTTTAAGGTCCTTTTAACCCAAACCATTCCATGATTCCATGAAAAGACCACCTGAGTGTACCAAGGACCGCTTGCTGCACAGATCAGGAAACCCTTGGACATGCATTCCGAGGGAATTTGTCCCAGAAAACAYTGGGATTTGGGACTGTTTTTTCTTCTAAGAGAAGCAAAGAACTCCCCAAAACCACTTCTCTATGGGAAGATGCTCTCTGCCTTTCCCTGGGACACRCTGCCCTAGAGGTCTCTTTTTCAAAGGGAACCAGTGACACTGGTTCATCTTCAGCCAGTGGAGCCGATTTTATCACTCACTGATATTCTAAAGCWGCCTCAAAGCTCTACAAAGGATTCTTCTAGGCTTGGGCACTGCAGTCTCATCTTTGTTTCAATGTAAACAGATCTTCAGTCATGCTGCAATAAACACTGAGCTGGCATTGTCTCGCTGTGATCAAGATCTCATGGTGAGCAGCAACAGCAATAAACACACTGAGGTCTCACTTCTGAGAATCTTAAAACTATTTACAAGCAATTAATTTGTTAACTCCACCAAAGAAATGATGGTGCTTTGCAGACAGGGAAGTGAAGCTAAAATTAAAGGCATGTGCATATATGTGACTGAAAGAGTCTGTAGCAATGCAAAAAGCAGAGCCTGGGACCTAGAGRGCATCCCAAACATCCTGGATACCAGAAAGATCCCTTTCTTCTTGGTATTAGGAAGCTCCAAGCCACAGGGCTTTTTCTTTACAACAGAGAGATGTAATTTCACATCTGAAGCAATTTTGATGCTTTCAAAATTTCATTTTGTTCTGTTTGGGGGGAAAAATATCAAATTTTCTGTATGAGGAAAAGAAGTTAATTGGCAAACTAAGATTTCTTAATGCCTTTATACAGACTCCTAGACCAGGACTGGCACTCAGCATTCCTGAAATGGAATCCCCGGAAACTATCCAAGGCCAGGCTGGACAGGACTTGAAGCAATCTGGTCTAGTGGAAGGTGAMCCTGCCCATGTAGAGGGTGGGGCTGGATGGGCTTTAAGGTCCTTCCCTACCCAAATCATAGAGGGGGATTCTATGATTCTATGAATTATTCCATCATTTCCTGTCAGGGATGTACATTAAAAGACAAACAATTCCAGCTCCTCTGCCTCTGCAGTTGAATTTCCAGCTTGATGAAGAATTGGCTGCACTCCCTGGTTCAAGGACAATATYGACCTGTCCTTTCATTCCAGCCACTCAGAGGGGTGAGCTGGAGCCTTCTCCTTCCTAAGCTCCAGGGGGATCACTGCCTTCCCTTCAACTGGAAGTCCCTTTTGCCCCATTGCTGCCCCATTCCAATCACCCACCAGCACTTGGAGGCAAACCTGCTGCCCTGGAGCCCTCCCTGGGCACATGGAGGAGCTTCCTCAGCCCTGGCACAGCCATCCCACTCAGCTGCAGGGATGTCAGGGGCAGAGCCAMTTCACCACTTAGGTCAGCTTTCACAGCATTACTTGTGGGACAGCACTCGGTGACAATCTTCACTCCAAACCTTCCGTTTGAAAATGCATTCTTGGAGACCCACTGATTATAGGATGTGCTTGGSTATAATAGCAGGATATGGTGCTGCTAAAGCAGAAAATCTCAGCCCTACAAAAACTAGCCTGCTTTGGGCAGAGGCATAGACTTATTCTCCAAATAAGGACAAAGTTCCCTAAAATCTTCTTTGTAGCATTTTTCTTCCTCCTGGGCCCAGGCAGCAGGAGGATGTTGTTGGCCTTGGCTCTGGAGAAATTTCCTGCTCAGGGTTTGCCCCTATTTTCMACCGTGGCTTTTTCTTTCCCAGCTCACAGCAGCCTCAATCTGCTAGAGAGGGCTCTGGGACACTGCACCTCACTTGACCACTGCCTGCATCCTGCAGTAAAAGTTTKTAGAGGAAGTGGGACAAAGAATAAAGTTCTGGTGTTGGGAAAAARCTTGCAACAATCACAGGAAATACCTATAATTTTGGGGAAGTCTTTMAGTTAAGGCTAAATCTCCTCAGAAGTGTCATTCTCCCTTGCCARTTCTGCTTAGATCAGCTTAAAGCACGATGACTGAAGGGAAAGGAACTCTGCAATTCACAACATACACGTGAGAAATAGGACATCAATGATGTCATTTTTATGAGCAGACCAAAYTTATGGCAAATCAAAACATGAATCAAGAGGCAAATTTTCTGGCTGTCTCTTCCAACCTTTGCACTATTTGTTGCAAAGGATCCAAGCATTTAAAATACTCTTAAAATTAGAAGAAAGGTTTAGTTAAAGAGATGGTGAGTGGCACCACACAAAGACCTTGCAGCACTCAGCTCAACAGGAATTGCAGTGCTACCTGAGGGTGGGAAGAGAGGCAGACAGACCCTTGATGTGTTGTTCTTCAATGGATCTTTAAACTCCTTTTGTTTACAGAAATAAAAATACACTATCTGAAAATAAACACGAAGGAAACAGTCTTGAGTAACAGAAACTCTTCCCATGAAATKACAACATGGGGTAACTGGAGATAAAATATCCAGGACAGTTAAAAAATTAGTTCCCCCAATTCTTTTCCAAATTTAGTGTGGCTGGGTTAGTCAGAGCTGTTTATATGGAGCAAGGCCAACTTTCCCACTTGGCGGGGCTGGCAACAGAGCAGTTCCAGCCCAATAAATGGGATCAGAATCCCAGCAGCTGGGATGTTTATCCTCAGAGAATGAGGAGTCTGTTCARCTCCAGGAGGAGACTGTGTGCAGCCCCTGGTCCTGTGCTGGGCCAGGGATTGGACTCCAYGGTCCTTGTGGGTTCCTTCCAACCTGGGATRTTCTGCGATTTCATGAACCAAAATTACCATCAGGAAAAGATAACCGTGATGGAGGTGGAAGGATTTCTGTCAAATTAACACAGCAAGGGTCTGTTTCTCCGTGGCTGAGGGTTTAGATCCAGCTTCAGAATAAACTCTGCTAATGCGTCATGAGGCACCTCCTGCTCTGCAGAACTGCCCTTGCACATGACCACAAAACTTCAACACAASTTATGATACCTCTTTTAAGAATCAAGCCCAAATGTCACTGCACTGAGAAACAAGAAAYATCTACCTGTTGTCCCACTGGAAGTAGGTAATCATCCCCAGACTTGTTTTTTCTTGCTTTTCCACTGCCTTTGACCTTCTTTACTGTGCATTACCTGTGCTGGACACCTGTGTGTGTCTCTAAGGCCCACAGCAAGGCCTCCAACAGCTGGCTCTGCAGTGTGGGTTTCACTGCTTTTATTGCAATAACTGACATACAGCTTGTTCAAATAACAGCACTCTTCAGCAAGTTCTGCCAGGATAGAATTGCTGCCAGTCCAGCCACTGGCTCCCAGCACAGCCCATCCAGCTTGCCCTGCCACACCTCCCTGCTCTAAACAACGTGTGCCACGTGGCCAGTCCAGGTGCCGGTCAGGAAAACTCAGGAAAGAAGGTCAGAAAACAATAACTTCTTGGCTGGCAGACAAGAGAGGGGTTGCTCATGCTCCCAGGACTTCAGCCATTTGGAAGTTAAGAATGGAAAGAGCAAAACACTTGCCATAAAAGCCATTTCACTTAAATATTGGTGTTTGGCAGTAAGATGAACCTTCCACAAGTAGCAAAAAGATCACAATCCTTCCCCCTGACGGCACAATTGCTTGTACTCAGCACCTTTTGGAAAAGGTTTTCCAAATATACCACGATCACTGATAGGAATCTCTTTGGAGATCTGGGGGCTGATGTATCTTCTTATACCATTTAAGCCCCAGGGGACATGACTGTAAAAAAAAAAAAAAAA